TGTCTGATGTGCTTCCTGCCAGGAGTACAGGTCGGAGAAATCTCTGGAAGAGCTGACGAAGCTGGTGCCTCCAGAATGTAACTGGTAGGTTGGAGCCTCTTTGGTACTTTTTGGTTCATTAGAGAAGCTGGTGGGCTGGTGAGTTTGGTGAGTTTGGGGCAGACACTGTATCCTTTGCGTGCCGCACCTTACTGGAAGTTGTGACACCTGGTGTCTGCCTTGCCAGCAGATTGCTGTGTGTCTCGGGGCATGTCACACAACCACTCTGGGCCTGGACTCTATCATCAGTGTTCAGATCAGCGTACCTAGCCTGGGGCCATGGATGGCATGTGTGGCTTTGGGAGTAGGGTGGCCCCTGAATCGTGGGAAAGTGCCCAAACTGTGTACACTTGTTCCAGGGAGAGGGCTCAGAGGCTTCTTTGAATTCTCAAAGGATGGATTCAGAAAAGGGTACAACCCGGGCTTTCACAAGCTGTAGTATCCGAGGAGGGTGGGGCACCTGCAGGGGGTGAGCTCTGGGCATTTGCTCCGCAGCCCCGCGGGGGCCCTTTCCTAAACAGACATTCCCACCGTTCCCTTTGAACTTGCACGGTTCTTGCCAAAGATGTTTAAAATGGAACCAAAAAAGCCAAAAATGTCCACCCATGCCACACAGAGATTTGTTTCGTCCAGGACTGTGTGATAGAATTTGCCGGAATGGTCTACCATCTGTCCTGCCCAGTGTGGCACCACTAGTCACACGAGGTTACCAAGGACTTCAAAAGTGGCCGAAACAACTGGGGAACTGGATTTTTAGTTTTCATTTAAATTCACATAGGGGCCTGGCGGCTACCGTGCTAACCAGCTCAGGCTAATTTGTGAGGCCCCTTCTTTTAGGGATGGCCACTGCTGACAAAGGAAACTGGCAGGCACAGAAGGGGAAATGGCTTTGACTAAATTTAATTTTAGGCATTCCAGTAGTCCATAAGTTTATTCTCCTTGTTAAAAACGATGTGATATTGGCTCGGCACCTGTGGCTCAAGCAGCTAAGGCACCAGCCACATACACCTGAGTTGGTGGGTTCGAATCCAGCCCGGGCCCACCAAACAACAATGATGGCTGCAACCAAAAAATAGCCGGGCATTTTGGCAGGTGCCTGTGGTCCCAGCTACTTGGGAGGCTGAGGCAAGAGAATCGCTTGAGCTCAGGAGTTGGAGGTTGCTGTGAGCTGTGATGCAACAGGACTCTACCCAGGGTGACAGCTTGAGGCTCTGTCTCAAAAAAAAAAAAATGATGTGATATCAAAAAGTCCAATATCTCCCGCAGCCCTACTGACAATGAGATCATTTCAGACTAATATGTTTCTCCCAAACATACAGGGCTGGTCTAAGGAACAGAAGGTGTCTCCGGATCTGTGGCCCCTCAGGGAGCTAAACATACAGCAACTCTCTTTTCTAACTCAGAATTTGGTGGTGGGGGCCTTGGTGTATATTTGGGCATAAGGTACAACTGAGCCACAGGGCTGGGGATAGAAAGGGCCAGTGAGATATAGTCCTACCTCTCAAGGAATCCGCCCTCAAGGATGTGTATGAGAGAGAGAGAGTAGGAAGAGAGTGACAGAGTTGGGACAGAGAGTGGGTGGCATGGGAAATTATCAGCGAGGTGAGTCAGTTCTAGACGGGCCTCTGGAAGCAGTGAGAATGTCTGGGCTCGATGGCTGGAGGGACGAGGCTGTCGGAAGTCTAGGTGTGTGATGCGATCGTGTGAGCAAACAGAAGCATAAATGATTGATGTGGTTTAATGATCCGATCTTATGATTAAATATCAAGTCTTGGCCTTTCAGGTGAATAGTGTGCATTATTGATGTCCCCAGGACTCCCTTCTGAGGGACAATTTTATTTACAAAAACAGCCGTGTCAGGTGGCAGAAGAGCTGAAAGCCCCTGATGACGCAAAGCCCCCACAATCCGAGTCTCTGAGACTCGTTTTGCAAACCAGGGGAAGCCCTACCACGTAGAGCCCCTCCCCTGTGACCCTCGCCTGGGTGCAGCCATCAAACACTTATTGAGCACCTCCTGGATGCCTGGGGAAAGAGCGCTGAGGTCACACAGACCTTGGGGGGGCTCATGTTCCCACTGGGGGAGGTCAATGCAATCAGAGAAACAGGTGGTTTGGGAATCGCATACCACATTAAAGCCAAAAACTAGCCCCAAACCCAAAGCTACGCAAAAACTGAAACAGAAAGCCCCACCGAGATGTAATAGAGTCTGGCAGGGAGTGAGGACAGCCCTGAGTAGTCCTTGATGAGGCTGCCCTGATCTGACATTTAAAGAGGAACTGACATTTAAGTTGAGGCTGAGGGACAGGAGCCATCCAGGAGGAACTAGAGGAGCAGCAGGTGTGTCTGCACACAAGGAAACCACGGGGAGTCATGGTCAGGGCTCTGACGCAAAGAGCAGCAGGTTAGTTAGTTCAAGATGACACCACGGGCTTGGTCCTTTCACCTCTTTACTCTGCCCTCTTCGGCTTGCTGGCTCCGTCCCCTGGCTGGCTCCCCTTCGTGGCCCCAAAGTGGCTGTCACAGCTCCATCCATCACAGCACAACATGCAAGGGCTCACAGAACAGGGTGTGTGCACAGAGTAAGGAAACGCCTCCCACAAGCCCCCAGCAAAGATTCACTTGTGTCACATAGGCCAGAGCTATATATCACCTGCCCGTGTCTAAGGCAATCACAGACAGGGGTCTTAGGTAGGCATCACCCACTCCCTGGAGGAGGTGGCTGTGGGGAGAAGGGTGGCTGCCTGAAAAAGATC